CAATGTCTAAGGGCAAGTGTTCCAATGTCTTTGATATGAACACGTCTCAAATTGCGTCTCTCATCGAGTGCTTGGTACCATGCCTGAGAAACATGAATGCTAAGTGAGTGATGGACCGCATGATCTGAGATTGCCCACATTGATTCAAAAGAATGGAAAAAAAAACGAAAAGCGCAAAAAAAAAAAAGAAAGAAAAAAAAAACAGAAAATAAACTTGCAAAATTCAAAATTTTCAAATTCACAATTACACATCTTGGGGGCTTCTCTCGAGTCTTGAGCCTTTTACCCCTTTCTTCCTTAAACCATCAACTTAACCACATTATAACACTTGAAAGACCTCTTTGAGGTGTACATACACTTGGGCAAAGTTTGGTTAGAGCTACGTTCGGCCTGATTCCTAACGGATACGTAGGCATCCTCACATTGAGGTGCGGCCACATTCATATGCATGATCGCATCAAAGAATATCCAATGCTTAATCCTATACCCCTACCCATTTAGAGCTAGACTTGGGGGTTTGAACCCACATCACATTAGCCTACCCAGCCTAAAGAGTCATCATCTTTGACTCTTTTCACATATAATCCATCACCATAACCCTTGCAGCCAGCCTTAGTATCACATTCACACATTTCACTCACACATCCATATCCATATCATCCTTCTCTTTAGGAACCCTTTATCATGAAGTCTTGTTTCAACATTGTGCATGTTTCATCATATTTAAAGACAACATTCATTAGAAGAAACATTGTATACTTGCTTAGCTTCCTGACCTGAGCAATATTCATTGTTTCATGCATCGCATAATGTGCTGAGAAACATTTATATATCAATGATTTTTAATCATACAAAGCATATCGTGCTTAGCTCCTTGACCTAAGCAACGTTCATTATGCAATAATCACTTCATCTGTATACGTGCTTAGCTTCCAGACCTAAGTGACGTTCAAGATCGTTTCTTTACATCATAAATGATTCTTAGCTCCATGATCTAAGTTCATTCATTATGTCACATGATGTAATTATCCTTAGCCTCCTAGCCTAAGGACATGCATCATGCATACATTACTTTCAAGAAAAGCAATCCAATCCATGCGATTCATTTCGTCTTGCTCAAGGAGGAAGTTCAAAACTTCTTTCCTTTTTCATTATTTTATTTTGGGGAAATTCAAAAACTTTTTCCAAATTTTTATCGAGGGAAGTTCGAAAATAAAATTTCATTTTTCACGTCTTTCTTTTTTGGGAGAAAGTCAGTACCCTCCACTCGTCTCATGACAAAAATGATGGAAATTTTTTTCTTTTGCATTTTCAGTTGCTTGTGTCTGCACACACACACACACTCAAACTGTACACACACAATCACAAGTCATACTCATGTCATGTCATGTCGTGTCAAGTCAAACTTGGTCAAGTTAGTTGATCAAGTCAATCATAGTCTATACGAGTCCCCTGGCAAATTTTATTTTGCAGGTCTCATTTACAGCCCACGTCCGGGGACAAGCGGACCATCTAAAGCCCACGTCCGGGGACAAGCGGACCATCTACAACCCACGTCCGGGGACAAGCGGACCATCTATAGCCCACGTTCGGGGACAAGCGAACCAACTACAACCCACGTCCGGGGACAAGCGAACCATCTACAACCCACGTTCGGGGACAATCGAACCACCATCATTTCACGGCGCAAGGTTCTCGATACACAGAGACTTGCAATCTCATCATCTGTCGACTTTCCTCAAGATTGGAAAGCGTTATCGGTGGAATTTTCTTCAAGTATAGAAAACCGCCAAGTCGGCTTTCCTCAAGCTTGGAAAGCATTATCGGTGGATTTTTCTTCAAGTATAGAAAACCGCCAAATTCCTTTGTCGGCTTTCCTCAAGCATGGAAAGCATCATCGGTGGATTTGTTCAAGCATAGAATGACACCAAATTCATACGTCGACTTTCCTCAGGCATGGAAAGTATCATCCGGTAGGTTTCTTCAGGCTTAGAAAACTAAAAAACTCCTCAGTCGGCTTTTCTCAGGCATGGAAAGCGTTTTAACAAATGTCATCCGGTGGATTCCTTCAAGCATAGGAAGCTGCCAAATTCATTTGTCACCGATACACTGGTGTCAGATACGTATTCTATCCTTTTACTCTTTTATTTGTGGAATTAACATTTTTCTGCAGGTATCGACGTATATAAAGTGATTTTAGGATCGCGGAACGTCTTAAATCATTCTCCATCCCTATTGGCTACTTTGACTATCGTTTTCTAAACCGACGTTTCTACAAACTCAGTCAAAGTGGGGGCTTCTGTAGACACCTAAAAATGTCTCCCCAAAACCAAACCCGATGATGAATAACCTTTCACCGCCATTATTGGTCGGGTTGAGTATTTAATTTTTGGAGTGCTTAAATCCATATTTCCATTTCATAAACCAACCCAATTCCTAGTCCATTTCCCCAAACCATAACTTATTTTCCTCTTTTCGTGCCTTTAAACCCAAAATAATTCATTTCGTGTCCTTGAAAATCATTAATTTTGTGTCCTTTTTATAAAAACGTTTAATCTAGTTTATTTTGGTCCATAATCAGGGTCCAATGATTGAATAGTTGGATAGGGCTTGAAAATAGCTTTCCAACGATATATTATAAGCCCAAATTCGAGTTATAACGAATAAGTTATGGCCAAAATATTAAACTGATCCCAAACCGAACCTAAGCCCACCTAACCTACGATCCAATGATCATGTGGAGGGTCCAAATGATTTAATCCAATTCCTAAACCAATTAGGATTATTTAGAAGCTTATATAAGTTTCTAAAAGATCCTAATTATCCGTTTTGAAAAGATAAAATTAAAGAGTTTGAAATTGAATAAAACTTTTCGTGCCTCATAGTTTTTATCTGAATTTTATATGGTTGGATATCTCTTGAAATTATATTTCCAATGATATATTATAATATCAAGTCTAAGCTATAACGAAAAAGATATGAATTAAATAAAAAAACTCTATCCAAAACTGACACCGTCTCACTATTTCGTCCATATCTTTTATTCTACAAAATATTTTAATCTAATTCTAATTGGGTTAGAAAGTATACTTAAAGATCTTTCCAACCATATCTTATTCATCATATTCCTATTTTTTTTATCAAAAGATATGATAAAAACAAAAACCGCAAAAACTGCAATGTATCGAGTTTTATTTCGATTTAATTCGGATCTTATCTTAATTCTTCGACCCTTCTTTTTTTTCTCTATAAATAGAGGTCATATCACCCCTTTATCAATCATCAACAAGCTTGATCATCAAATCCTTCTCTCTTTCTCTCTTTTATACCAATAATCATTCTCTCTCACCTTACACCAAAAACCATTCTCTTCTCCCTCTTTAACCTAATTTCTAGCCTCCTTATTCTTTCATAACAATTCCCCTAAGCACTCCAAGGAGTCTATACTTAACCCGAGGTTCCGTCCTTGAACCAAGGCGTGAAAGGTGCAAATAATTGAGGGTTTGGACCAAATCAACTCTACGTTTTATTTAATTTAATTTTCATTTGATTTATTTTTTATTGAAGTTACTAACGATTTATTCATGATGTAGAAATTTAAAGGAACGCACGGAATGTAAGTAATTAATTAATTTAATTACTCTTATTTTATTTTAATATTGCTAGCATCATGATTATGTTATTTTGTATTTAATTTGACTAACACTATTATTGTTGAATTGCTTCCAATATTAATGTTTATTCTATTGTTATTATGATCACCATATTGCATGTTTAAAGGGAATATGTAATTGAAAATCACGCCTAATAAGATAATTTGGACAACCGGTTTAGGTTCCTTTTTAATCTTGTTGTTTAATTCAAGTGATCACAAATATTTTAGAATTATGTGTTGCATTAATATTCAACCAATTTAGCATAATAATAGATTGGAGCAAATTGAATCTTTGTTTGTATGCCTTTGAGATCGCAGGAATCACTTTTCAATATAAGAATCGAGTAGAGGCCAATACGGGCGAATGTGACTCCATGACTCACTTCGTACCATCATCCCCGATCCTCCTTTCGTGGTTCTGAACCATATGGAGTTAGTAATCTCATGGATTATGAATGGGGTGTAACCTTCACGGGTCAATCGTTGTTGCCTTCGTTGTCCCTTATTCGTGGTTGCCTTTTATGATCCGTGAATGGTTTACAAGTTCATTAAAAACTTGTTGGCGGCTCCCTACTTTATTTGTCCCTAATCATTGTCCCTAATCGTAATGTCAATTCCCACTTCCTAAGAGTGCCAAGCATATTCACCACATGCTTTTAACGCAGGCGCACTTCAAACGACGCCTACAATACTATAAAATAAAAATAAAAATATATGTATGAATAATAAATAAATAAACTTTAATTAGGTTGAAAATATGGGGGATTACATTAACAACCACACCAATCCAAACCTAGCAGCCCCTAGCATACCAACATTGACATTGATCTTCACCTGGTTCAAAGAAGGGGCCAACCACCGACCTGAAGTATTAGTCGCCACATCCTCGGTTTCCATCTTTACATAGCTCACCACCATCCCCGGCTCACTCTAATCACCCTCAAATAAACCCCCGATTTCGAGCACCCCAAATGGCCCTGCAGAAGACCATTATCCATTTGTGCTTCTCCTTCTCAAAATTAATGAAGACATTGATTATCCAATCAAGGAAGGAGCACCACCTACCTAAAACATCATCCTCCAAGCCACAAGCTTCTAGATTATTATTATTATCTTTAAATATTAGTTATTATTATTAAATATTAATTATTATTTTTAAATATTATTATTATTATTATTACGGATTTGTTCTGATTGACTGAAATGAGCTGCACTGAATTGAACTGAACTAAACTAAAATTATTGAAACTGAACTGAACCAAATTGAATATTTTATGAGAAAAGGAAATTAAAAATTAAACTGAACTAAACGTATTGGAGCTGACCTAAACTGAACTGAAAATAAGTGGAAGAAAACAGACCTTACCTTTGATTACTTTTATATATCACTTAGAAATATTTTATATCTTTTTTTTTTTTAATTATATTTTATATCTCTTTTGAATTATATTTTATATCTCTTAAATAATACTACAAAGTTGTATATCAAAATAGGAGGTAGTATTAAATATTAATTATTATTATTGTTAATTATTATTTTTAGCAAAACACGACTGGGATTAGTAGAGCAAACAACTAAAAAAAAAAAAGAAAAAAAAAAAACCGTAGCGACGCTACCACAACAGTACAACACTACGCCCATAATCACCCACCCCACCCCCTTTTTTTTCCTGCGCGTTAAACCCCAACCTATCATCATCTTCATCATCATCATTCATCTCATCCTTAAAAAATAAAACCTATCTCCTCCTTCCTTCCTTCCTTTCTCTCTCTTAATTTTTTTTAATAAAAAATCAAATAAAAAAAAAAAATCTTATTGCTTATCCCAATTTTATTCCCCATTTTTTTTCTCCCGCAGATCTTTCAAATTAAATTAAAAATCAAATTTTAAGTTAATTTTAAATTAAAAATTACCTTCCATCTCTCTCCTCTTCTTCGTCTTCTAACTCCCTTACTCTTCTTCTCTTTGCTCTCTCTGAATTTTTTTTCCAGATCTAGGGTTTCGCTCTGAAACCCTAGATTTTTCAATTTTGAATTTTTCCATTTTTTCTTGCTTATCAATGGCGACTCCTTACATGACTGCTGCTCAGGTATTTAAATTTCATTTTTCAATCCTAATTTTATTATTTCAACTTTATTTTATTCATTTTTTTTTTTATTATTTTTTTTTAGGTGGGCAGCTACTTTGTTACGCAATATTACTCAATGCTTCAGCAAAGGCCAGAGTTTGTGCACCAGCTTTACTCTGACGCAAGTACGATGATTCGTATTGATGGTCATACTCGCGAGACTGCTACTGCAATGCTGGTCATATACACTTTTCTCTCTCCTCTTTTTGTAATGCTTGCTTTGTTTTAGTTGCTGCTACTTAATTTTGTGCAAGATTTGGTTGTGGGAATTGTAGGAATTGTTGGGTTTTGTTGAAACTTGAAATGAATTGTTTTTTGGTTAGTGAATTTGGATTCTTTTGTGAAATGGGTATTTTGGCCTTTGCTCGGTGAGAAATGAGTGTTTCGGATGAAAGAGGGAGGTATGGGGATTAAATTGGAAATGGGGTGATGGATAAAGGATTAATTAATCGTGGTTGCGTTGAGTGATGTTAGGTGATGGTGGAAATTGATTAATGGTTCTATATACTAAATGACGGCAAAGTGTGTTTTGCTTATTGGAATTTGATGGGAATATTTGTGTAGTTTATGCGGTGGATATGAATGATGGGGAAAGCTGTGAATTCATGCCCTTAGGTCCCTGTGAATTAGCCTTTAATTATTCTGCACTTCAATTGCCAGCAGCGTAAATGTTGGTGCTTCATGCGCTTGGATAATGATATGTGTACTGGTCCGGATTGTCAGTTTAGTTATATATCACTTAATGATAAATGAGTGTTTTCCTGTTTTGGGACCAAGGTCAAGGTTGTATTTTGGAGTAGGAGAAATCAAAAGTTGACAAAGTAATACTAGGAGTGTCAACTTAGGTGTCACTGGCCACGAGCTACTTAAAATTTGATGTTTACTATGAATAAATAAATCGTTGAATGGAATGAATAGTACCAATCTTTTTTGGTTCCATTTCGCTTGTTCTACACACTCTCTTTTCAAGTCAATATAAACAGTAAAAATGAAGAACAAAATAATTGTAGCACTAGAGTATTCTTACCTAAGGATGATTGACCTGGATTGAGGATGCCAAATTATAGTGATAAGAACTCTATGGAGATGAAGCTATCCCATGTCCTGTCCAGCTTTGTTTGAAGTGGCAGACTTGAACCCTCCATCCTACAAGCCTGTATTCAGATATTTTACCATCCTGTTTGAGCTCTTCTCTTCATTGGTATTAATTCTTGAACTGTGGACTTAGAGGAGTGTATTAATTAAGGTCCACTAATATTGCTTCTTCTCTTTCATCCTCCCCTAGTTATGAAAATTCTAAGTTTCCCTATTCACTTTCTGTCAGCAGTATTACTAGTATATGATTTATAATATATATATATATATATATATATATATATATATATATATATATATATATATATAATCTATCTTATGGGGAATTTTTGGTTGTATGCTTTCTTTTGTTTTCCGTAAATGCTGTTCTTCCCACTCTTTCTTCATGCAACTGACGCACTTAACATATTTACCCTGGCAGCAAATCCATGCACTTGTTATGTCAATGCGTTTTACATCAATTGAGATTAAGACGGCTCATTCCCTTGAATCATGGAATGGAGGAGTAATTGTGATGGTCACAGGGTCTGTACAGATAAGGGATTTCAGCGGGAAAAAGAAATTTGCTCAGACATTTTTTTTGGCTCCCCAAGAGAAAGGATTTTTTGTTCTCAATGATGTTTTTCACTTTATTGAAGAAGATCAAGTTCATCCTTATCCTGCACCGCTGATGGGGCAAGCCAATCTTAATGTGAAGTTGAATGCTTCTTCACCCATACCTGAGGCAGGTATGTAACTCCAGCTGTGATTATGGATTCCCAGCCTTTTCTTAGTAGACGAGGTCACTTGGGTGTGGTTAAGAGTTAGAGTAGAGTATTCCCTTTATATAAAACTAAGATGTTGTGCCAAGGCAAAGCAATGCTTTGTCATTGTTATATTGATGTTTAAATTTACCTGGTATAGATACACTTGCTTGGACCTTATTATTGAAGGTTGAACTTGTTGCTTTATATGCATTCTGAAGTTTATTCATGAAAAATTGTTATTGCATACTTAGTGATGTACCTTAATATACGACTTTGGTGATGTAAGATGATTGGCTATTTTACAGTATCAAACTACATGATTAGTGGAGGAATGCAGGCCAGAGACTACATGCCTCCTGCGGATATCAAAGAAAATGGCGCAGTTGATAATTATTCAATGCCCAAACAGAGGCTTCAGCAAGCCCCTGAAGTCGAAAATATACTTGATGTCAATTCTAGGGAGCAGGCAAATGGTTTTCTTGAGAGCCCAATAAACCCCATACAGGAAATTCCACCATCACACATAGAGGATTCTGCTGAGGAGCCTCAAAAGCATACCTACGCTTCTGTGGTATGTGCCCGCTTGGCTTTAGTTGCCTTTGAATTAGTCTCTGTTAATGTTGTGTTGTCATTTGTGTTTCTGTATATCAGAGCATAGGTTTTATTTCATACTAAACTGATTGAAAATTCTATGTGCTTTACTGAAGTTACGAGCTGCCAAAGTACATTCAACTCTATCTGTGGCACCTCCATCTTCTTCTAACAAGGCTGTGACATCTGCTTCAGAGTGGCAGCAAGCCCCACAGCAAACCCAGCAATCTGCTGCCCAACAACCCCAGCAGCTGACGAATTCAATGCAAGTTGCAAGTGAGAATTTTACAACAGATATGAGTGAGGAGGTCTCGGGTACAGATGATAGAGGTCTGCCAAGTTCCTTGTCTTTTTTTTGGTCTCAAGCCTTTGATTTGGATTATTTCAAACAGTTTTTAAGTGATAACTTATCATCTGGGCTGATCTTAAATTTTAAAGATTCACAATCTCTCCTTGCATGCATCATATCTCTTTAGATCTGTTACCTGCTTGATTTTTCCAGAATTCCATCTTCTGCACCATCTAGTATGATCTATTATTAAAATAATTTTGTTTGCTGTTATTGTAGGTGAAATAAAGTCAGTCTATGTGAGAAATTTGTTACCGAATGTATCTGCCTCTGAGTTAGAGGAAGAGTTTAAGAAATTTGGCCAACTTACTGGTGAAGGTGTAGCCATTAGGAGACTGAAGGTTTAAATGTGCATTATTTAATTTTTTATTGGAAGTCATGGAATAATTTCTACCATCAGTTTTCTAAATATTGGTGTGCTTATATGTTGTTTGATGTGAACTATATTCAGGACACTGATGTTTGCTATGCATTTGTCGAATTCGAAGATATTGAATCTGTCCAAAGTGCAATCAAGGTTTGTATCTTAGTATTGTTTGTGTTGCTATCATGCTCCTAATACATTTTTCCTCATCTTAGATGTTCTATGTGCTTCCGCTGGCTGGCTGGAATTTTATTTAACTGCAAACTTCAATTTATTTAATTAATTTAGTTATTTTGTTATGGTCACTGTGCTTATGTTTTGTTTTACCATTATTTAGGCTGGCTCAGTTCAGGTTGCCGGACGACAAGTATACATAGAAGAGAGGAGAGCAAACAGCAGCTTTGCACGTGGAAGTATGTATACCTGCTCTGTTTCTGTTTAAATGTCTTCATAATCTCTCAACTAATTAATTTTGATCTAGTTGCTGATGTGTTAAGAAATGTCAATATAAGCTTTCTTGAGTTTCCATCTCTGTTTTTTTTGCCTGGACAAATGTCTAGTTGTCTTACCTCTTTCAGTTTCCGTTGCCCTCTCCTGGCTCTCGCACTAATATCTTCTAGTATGTATCACAAATATAGAACAGAACAGACATCCTTTTGTCACTGGTCAATATGAAAGAAATAGTCCTCTTTGTACAGCTGAAGATTTTACTTGAAATCTTCTAGTTATTGTTGCATCATAATTATTGATACAAACGACATTGAACCCCTGGTCATATATAACACTCATTAAGAGTTAAGCTAGCTGACATTAACTATTGCATTACAAATTTAAACGTGTGCTGAACCTGCTGTGTACCTTGTTAACTTTGCATGGAATGATCTGAGCAGGGAGAGGGAGAGGAAGAGCTACATATCAGCCTGATTCTTCGAGGGGACGGTTTGGAGGTCGTAATTATAGCAGGGGTGGTGGTCAAGTTGGAGGAGAGCGCGAGTTCAACAGGCCACGAGGGAACGGCTATTACAGGCAAACTAGCCGACAAGATAAAGGGTATTCCACGAACCAAGCTTCATGAAACGGACATACCATATCAGAGTGAACATTGTAGGTTGATGATGAAGAAATAGAGAAATTTTAGCATTACTTTCAGTTTAGTTTCCGAAAATCAAACATAAATTATACTTAATATTTTTGCAGTTCTTTTGGCATTTGAAGAAATGCATTCTTTGGGGAGTAGCTTTCAATATCAAGGCTCTATTATTCATTTTTAACATCATAAATTAATTAAAGAAAATTATTTGTTTTCAGTCAAAGATCTCATTGGCATAAAACTTCTGTTAATATGTTTTTTTTTTTTATTACTTTGCCCTATTTTGACTTTACACAGCCTTAAAGACATATTTTAACACGTAGTTATCTTTAACTTTATGTATTCAAATTTTTTTTTAAATGTGATACTTGAAAGAAGTAAATGGATGAAGTTTGAATTAAGAGAAATTAGACCTTAGCCATTTGGTTGAAAAACCTGCTGAGAAATTGTAGGTTGCAAGAGATTGCTGATGGTGGTGGCGGCACCTGACTTGTGTGTGCAATGCTTCTACTTCTCTTCCTTGGTATACCATGGGTGTGAATTTCAAGCTATTTCTCACTAGAAATTGAAACCCCTTGGTTGGAAGTATGTATTTTGAGAAAGAAAAATATGGAAGAGAAGTAGAGAATGGAGTAGGAAAGTAAGAAGGAAAGAGAAACTTGGTGAATTTTGGTGAAGAATTGGTGTGTTAATGGAGATTTGAGGTGACTGGTGAGAAGGGTTGAGAGAGAGAGAGAGAGAGAGGAAATTGTATGAAATAATATGAAACTGAGGTAGTACGAGATTAGTTCGAATCTCAGTTGATAGGGGTCGGGGCGAAATTTCGCTACAGCTTCTGTTCTTGATGATTGAATTTCGCTTGATAATTAAAATTTTTATATCTAATTAATCACTACAAGAAAGCAGATATTTACCAACTAAAATTACCCAAAAAGATGACAGCTGATACATACCAACCAATTAAAAAAAAACAAATGACAGTGCACTCTATTATCCAGTCTAGTGCATACAAGTTTATCGGAAACGGAGTTTGGATTTCACGGATGAAAAACCTACCAAGTCAAGGCATGAAATTATGCATCCTTTGCTAGGATTACATTCGGGTAGCAAGCCATGACATAAGTAGCTATAATTACAAATTAGTGTCGGAAATTATCCTGATATGTATGGCTTACGAATGAGGATATATACAAGTAGTATATATTTTTTATCCCTAGTATAATATTTAACGGCCTTGAACTTCTCACAGATGAAAATTTTACGGGCACTTATCAACATATAAACCTTCCAACAAGAAGAGAGGCAAAATCACATTCTTTATAAAAACAGAATTTCAACTATTGAACATCACAATTTAATTATCATGCTGTTCATATAAATGTACAACCTGAAGTTCACTATGAAAAAGATGTGGGTTATTATTCATCATCAATGGTCCATAGAAAACGAGCATAAGCTGCGAGATTGTTGCTGCAGGAAACAAGCATAAGAAAATAAGTTAATTTCAGATTAGAAATTCTGAAAATTGTGTGGAAAAGTAGGCGTACTTTGAAGTTTAAAATCCTGGAAGATTTGGGAAAGATCAATACCTATCTCCAGGGGCAGCTTCAATAGCTCGTTCCATGTAATGTAAAGTTTTTTCCTGGTCATGATGGATTTCCCATAGTAACGTTGCATACTGCAACAACATCTCCCCATCTTGCGGGTAAGCCAATATGGCACGCGAGTAATATTCTTCAGCACTCTGAAGATCACCCTTTGTCTGTCATTAGAACACATCATCAACCAAAAAAGTCATATTCCGGAAATAGTTAAAAGGGGCTTACACAGTCCAAAGTTCACATATACAAGAAATTTCAACCGAAGGAGCTAACACGGTCCAAAAGTTCACATATACAAGAAAATTCTACCAAAGGAGCTAACACGGTCCAAAATTTCAGATATACAAGAAAACTCTACCAAAGTTTTTAACACGGTCTAAAAGTTCACAGTTACAAGAAATTTAGATCAAAGGGACGTCGCTATAATGTCCTCATGGAACTCATTCATAATTTTAAAGGAATTGATACCTGACGCTCCAGATTCTAGTGGGTGCTTGGAATTAATTGGAAAGTTGGGGTATGTTGCAACAGTTTTAGGCCCGGGGAGTAGTAGGGAGGGGATCTTAAGGAAGCAATACATTAAACAAATATGTATAAATCAGTTCAAATTATAATCTCCTGTCACTATGAATATCAAATACCTTCAAATGGTCAATGCAATAAAATTCATTGCTGGATACTGCTACTAGCTTATGATTCTGTCTTCAACTCTTCCCATAAGGTGGGAAGAGAGGAGGTGAAATGAGCATGAAGCTGTGTTGCACTAAAAGTTTTTGGAGGTTGTAATCAGATGTTAGGATTTCTTTGTTGCTTTAGCTATAAAACTCTCTTGGTAAATATTATATTCTATCTTAATGGTAAAACTATAAAACTAGTGAACAAAGAATATCAAGTTTTTATAAAGTTTGTTAATACTTGATTAAAGATAGATGGTGAAAGGTATACTTGGAAAACCGTGGAATTGGCACTATACTATGGAATAGAGGGACATTATTTGCTTTACCAGTAATAGAGTAAATGTTCTAAAAATACAGTTGGAGGTTCACCTGATACAAGAACTGAGCATACTTCTTCAGAAACAGGGGATCTGATGGATCTTTCTCGATCATCCTCTTATAGTAATCTTCTACATCAGCACTGTTTATAGGGACTCCTTCAAAATTTGGACTGTCAATGCCACCATCAACGCCAACTACAATCTCATCTGCAGGATGCAAGTGAATAGATTTTTGTAGGTCTTCCTGGAAGCCAACCTCAGTTAGGTTCACAAGATTTAACGATCAAACATTCACTTTAATAGGAATTTCATACCTGTCCAAGATCAGGTTGAATAGAACCCTCATGTTCATCATCACCTGCTTCCCAAAGGAACTTAGCATATGCTGCCAGAACATTGCTGAAGCATGAGGTACGATGTCAGCATTTCAGCAAATTCGCCAATTTACACTTTAGAGCTTCTTATATATACCGCGACAGCAATGCATGTACTAACATAGAAATTCCTAATACTCAACACATCACAACAAATTACACTGATGCTAGCTTAAAGCCACAACTAAGGGTTTATATTTTTCCTTAGCAGTTACAGGGGAAAAGGATTGCATACGTAACATATGAGGCCTAAGTAAATAAAAATTGTTGTCTAAGATGCTGCTCATATATGTGTGCAATTTGGCTGATATATGTACTTCAGATACTATTGTTACAACTTACAAGTGTACATAAATCGAAGTTATAAACACCTACATTTGTCCTCCCCAATAACCCATGATGAAATCAAAACCAAGATTTACTGAAGGCTGGAACTTTACATGAGCATAACCATAATCTGGCTCAATTATGAAATAATTAAACCCCAATCCTTTTGATTACTATAATCAAAGATAAGTTCTGCAGAATAACATGTCCAAAAGCCCAGTTACTTTACCCTTATAATATGAGTTTAAGTTAAAATGAATTCATATAATATAAGTCCATATAAGTTGGGTTCAGGGATAAAAAGTTCAAATAATCAAGTTAAATTCATGTTAACATTTGTATAAGAGATGATTGATTAATCATTGTCTCCCTTTAATTTTCCTATGTTAAGGGAAAATAATCATGATACTTAAAACTTAACAAGATAAAGAAATTGTGCAAGCTGACTGCACATGTAGTAAAAGGTAAACTATGTCAAGCTAACATTTAGTAGTATGGTATCAAAATTACACACCTATCCTTGGGAGCAGTTTGAGCAGCAAGCTCAAAGTATCCCGAGGCTCTTTCCTGATCACGATGGAGCTCCCACACTAATTGAGCATAATGTGAAAGATTTTCCCCATCACTAGGATCAGCTATTGTGGCGCGAAAATAATACTCTTCTGCTCCTTGAAGGTCTCCTTTTCTCTGTTTCAAAACAAATTATTCATCAAGTTTATCCAAAGTTAATACAAAATACAAACTGTTTAATAAGTCTTTATTTTCCTATATTGATGCAGAATGTTGTTTAGTTAACTCAGTTAAAAAATATTGCTACAAAAGAACCTTTTGTAATTGGTTTCAAGATTTATTTTAGCAGAAGTCTAAACAATACTGTATAATGTATATTGGTTTCAAAATAACATATCTACATTGACATGGAAAGGGGTAAAAATAATAAAAGCTAAGATTGCAAAAGCTATCAGTGGGTCCAAAATGAGTTATGTAAGTTGCAAAATAATTGCAAAATTACTTTATTTTGTCAAAGATTTTCTTTAACACTTTCCTCATCACACTGAGTTTACTTTTTTTTCCTTTCTTTAATTTTCCAAACTACGCACCTCATTTTGCAATTAAAAGTGAACGGATGAAGTACATATCAGCATTCCGCATAATAAATTGACTAAGACGAGTTTACCATCATTCATTAAAAGAACATATAAGGGGTTTACTTCTATGATTTTAAGGCAAATATAAGTCCTTGTTTCCATATCTTGGATATAAACTCAGGACTCTCTCTTGATACCCCACATCAAATACAATACCCCACTTCAAATTTAAACTTCATAACAAACAGAATCATATAGAATATAAATACAATATACAGTATCATACAAAACTCATAACAGTTCCTTACCAAAATTATATTTATTTCCTTCAGAAACAACACACATTTACAGCAAAGCATATTATAACAAAGGCATCATAAAATCTGACCTGTAGAAACTGAGCATACTTTTTCAGAATTAAAGGATGATTAGGAAATTCATCAATCAACTCTTTATAATACTCTTCATCATTTCCTCTTTCCTCCCTAAAACTATCAAAATGATCCTTAATCCCAAGCCCAGAAGCAAGGTACATAGGTGGACTGGGTGGTGGTTCATCATCTTCAACATCTAATTTCTTCTCAAACCCACCAACAATTTCACCCAAATCATCACCTTCTTCTTTGATTAAATCCATGTTTGGTTTCATAAAACTAAAATCACCATTACCCTGAAATTCCCCATCATTCTTTTCATCTTGTTCTTCAACACCATGATTATTGGTGTATATCGATAAAGACAGGGCCGTTTCTAACATTTCAGAGGTTTTTTTTCTTATTGATTTTGAGATTGAAAATGGTATTATTTTATGTTATCAGGAAATCAACAGAACTGGGATCTTGATTTGCCTTTGCTTGAGACTGAAAATTTCTTGCAATTAAAGGACCTCTAATTTTATTTTATTTTTGCTTACAGATTTGAAACGCAACACGTGTAGAGCATACGGAGGAGGGTAGTGTGGGTGATATATAGCTTGGGAATTGCACCCATCGATGACGAGTTACTGACTTACAGTTATGGTCTTAGGCTCTTAGCCTCTTAGGGTGTTAAAAAATAACCGACCCGTTTGACTCAATCCGCTGACCCGTAAGGTATCCGACGGGTATTTTTCATTTTTTTCCAATTCTGCGGGTGCTAAAATATCATATTTGCGGGTTGGGCAATGGGCAAGCCTCTGACGGTATCGGGTACCCGTTAAATACCCATTTTTTTTCCTTAGGAATTAGGGTTACTTACTCTTTCTAACCGTAGCCTCATCTCCTCATTTCTTTAATCTTTTTCTTAAATTGTGTGTCAAAGGGCTGTAGCCTATAGAAACGGAGGAAGTATAGTTTTTGTTTTTAAATGAAAAAAGGCTTTTTTTTATTTTTTTTTTTTTTGGAAAAAAATAACATATGTATTGAAATTTCAGGTACACCGGGAGGGTACCCGGTAAAAACAGGTACCCAATAAACGGGTACTTGCTTTTAGCGGGGGGTCGGGTAATGGGCCACCTAAATAACTACCCGCACTTCCGGGTACTCGAAATTCTCGAGTACCTGGTTATGAGCACCCCTACTTACGGTTACAGTGTCAATTTAATTGTATGGGTCGGGTTGGATATAACTTTGAATTTGAATAATACCAAATTATTGGCTCAAATAAGTCTACCAAATTATTGGCTCAAATAAGTCAATATTTGAAATTTATTTTTTTGGATCAATTTCAGATCGGGTCAATTGGATATAAAGGGATGTTAGGGGGTGCGAGGATGGGTCTCGATTTTGCAGTTGGTGGGGCGCGAATGGAGATAAAAACTATACCTGAAATGGGTGATGGGGCGGGGGTGAATTTTATGTTGAATAGGTTTTCGACACCTTGTGAAGCTTTGTCCCATATCCTTGAAAGACGAACTCGATTTTGTAGGTCATCTTAAAAAACACTTAGTTTACATTTTCTTTTTTTTTTTTTTTTTTTTTTTTGTCGAATACTAGCATTAGGGTCACCGTATTAATTTAACATCGCTATATTAATTTAAAAAAAAATTCACTATGATACAAATAAAGACCACTAATGACTTCGTGAGATCAACACAAATTTAGAAAAGCTCAACCTTTTAAAATGTTAAATTAATTGTAATGACATCATTCAAGTAATTGTGAATATCATCTAAACAATTAATTAACCATATTATCCAACCAATTAACAATATCATTAATCCTAGGAATTTAAAGATATCATCCAATCATCTAAACAATGAATGATATCATATATATAGTCAATTAATCATATCATCCATCCTAGATACTTAAGGACATTATCTAGTTAGTTACTAATACTATCCCGATAATTACACATATCATCCAAACAACGAATTATATTATCAAACCTAAACAAATCATATCACTTAGCTAATAAATAAAGCCGATCAAAACTTGACATTTTAACTTTTCGCCAAGTGTCGTGCCATGTAAGCCGCTACAAATAGGTATTTTCGTGACACATGATGTTAGGTAATCAAATTTTGGATAAAATTTGTAAGATAAAATTGTTGTATAGAGTTTTATTTTTCATATACAAATAATATTTCATATATACAAAATTAATCGTAGCTTTTAATAAATATTATAACTCGATTTTATTTCCATCATAAAATTTGTTTTAAAAAGTTCTTTAAAATAAGATCCATTTATAATATATATTTAATTTATTTAAAAATAATAGAGAATTATTAAAAACAAGTTTTAATCAATATTTAATTTTAATTTTGTAAAAATATTTTATTTTAGTTTGGTAAAATAATTTAAGTTCAATAAAAAAATACTTCAAGTCAATAAATAACATAAATATCTATTTACAAACAAAACTATAAAAAGTATACTATTATATAAATTAGCGATATGATATCGTATGTCTAAATATCCCGAATTATATATATATAAAAAAAAGATTAAATGACCGTATTTAACATTCAAGCCAAAAAATTTATCCTAAATTTTTATCAACCCTTTGGCATTGCCTAGGCACAAATTAAAAAATTACTAGTGATTAGAATTACAAAATTCACAAATATCTATTCATAGTCCAATTAGGATTTAGGACCAACAAGAAGCTCACGAGTAGCCAAGTAGACTTTGTAGGACTTTATATACTCTGATCGGAATTGCATGAATCATATTTATAAGCATCTAAAAACAAAAAACATTGCATAACACATAAAAGAACACATAGTTGTACATTTGAAGCGTGATTCCACGTGCGATCGAACAAGAACAATGGGAGATAAAGAATCCTAAGCGTGATTCCTCTACTTGGTCCACAGGCACCGATTAAACCTCCACTAATGCTAGGTAGTTATGATTAAACACTTCAATGAACCTTCAACGAAGAAGAGAGACAAACTAACCACGAACCACCACCAATATAATAGACGCTGGCCTTACGGATGTGAGGAGAAGGGAGGGGTCGTGAGTGAAGAGAGAGAAAGGGATATTAGGGTTTGGGAAAATTGGTTGTCTAGTGTCACAATTTACTAATTGTTAACTGTGTCTCTTTTCAACCTTAGGCATCTTATTTATAGATTATATCTCTAAATAAGAGTCCATGTCTAGCTCAAAGTCCTAATCCTAATCTAAATACTCTAGCCCAACACCTTTCATGGTATATGTAATATCTCGTATTTTTTACGTATTTTAATTAAAATAAGTATTTTGAGAAGTATTTAATTTAATTGAATTGTTTTATTTAAAGTATTTTAATTATTTATTTTAAATAAGTTTGGAAATATTTATAAAAGGAAAGTTTATTTAATTAATTAACTTAATTAAGTTGGGGTTAAATTTAAGGAAAGTTTTATTTTAGTAAAGTTTTATTAGGGAAGGGACTAGGAAAATTAAAAGAGGAAAGTTTAGGGAGAAGGGTTTCTAGAGAAGGGTATAAATATTCAACACTTGAAGCAAATCAGACTTTGCCCAGAGTGGAGAAAACCCAAGGTAAACTTCTCTCCCTTTTCTCTTTCTCTTTCTTTTTATTTTTCTTTCCCCTTTTCCCCTTCCCCTTTCTCGGCACCACCCTCCCTCTCCGCCGACCACCAGCAGCAGGTGGCCGCCGGCTGCTAGGAGCGTCACCCGCCGGCAGCTGGTGTGGTGGCTGCCGTTGCCACCTATCCCTTTCGAATAAAAAAAAATTGAAAACTTTGTTTTAAAAATAAATTTAATCCTAGATCTAAATATTAATTATGAGTTTTGGGATTTGATTTTTGATATTTGATTATGAGTAGTATGTTAATGTAACACCCTAGAAATTCCTTTCTTTTAAATACCCATTCTACTCTTTTAAAAACACGATTTAGGAATAACTAAGACATTACTGCTACCGTGAAAACGGCTAAGGCAATTATCAAAGATACACAGCGGAAGACTCAAAATTAAAAACCGATTAAGAAAGTCAACTCAAAAGTCAACCAAACGAAAATAAAGTTTAAAACCAAACAAACAAAGTCAAATAAAATCAAACTACAACTTGGAACCATTAAAGGCCCTTATTCAAAAACCGTTCCCAAAACCAAACCTTTGTGTTAGTCCACACAAAATATATCATAAATAAATAAAGCATAAAACACCTTGTAACCTAATGAAAACTAGTAAGATTCACTCTTCTCTCATGCCCCATCATGATCATGCTTCAATACCTGAAAATTTTATCTCTACTTGTTTCCGCTACTCTCCATTAAAAATGGGTCATCATAGGGCCAAGATAAAGACATGGCCAAATACACAAACACACACAATCAGCAAAGCTGAGTACATAAGCGTAAATAAGCCACACTAACATGCTTTCACCTATCAACACACACTTACCTCATTGCATCTGTTCACAAGCACACACACCAATCAACAAGACACAATGACTAGACACTAATTAATTCATTTTGCGTTGATTACGCATCGAACGGGTTTCCTCCTCCTAACCTCCCCCAAATAAATTTGAGGTTAACTAACACGAGAGCTAACCATGCCAGCAACAAAACCACTCAAAGGTGGCGGAATTCCTGCGCATAATGATAAATAAAAAGGAATGTACAGTGTCCTATACTCCATTAGAATTTATGGTTAAATATAAAACCCCATAACCCCCCCCATTGTTCATACTCAAGGTATATACGTTCCAAGAGTTTTGGTGCGTAATCTCTTTCACTTTACGTTATTTACATATTATTAGACTTGGTGATGACTCTCAAAGCATAATAAGTCAATCAACAATAATTATTCAATCAAACAAACATACCAATTTAATTCTTGAATAATTAGTGAGCACATAATATTTAATGTTGAACCCTTTTTAATTCTACCTCAGTGTCAAAGACACCTTAAACGCATAAAGCGCCAAAAATCCTATCCCTCGGTGTTAAAAAACACCTTAAGTGCACAAAGGCACCAACATACAATTTATTCCTTGTGTACATAGACACTTATATAGCTCCTTCCTCATGCTCAAAGCATCAATAAAAATTATATGAACCATAATAAATTTCCTTTTCAATATTCCAAGCCAAATTAAACAATTAGTTTAATTAAACATGCTCTTTATCATGCCACAAATAAATATGTGGTTCATAAATAATATTTTAAGCTACTATTTTCCAATCAATAATCCATCATAAATAATTCATGTTTCATAATCCAATCACCAATAGCATTCAAATCAAAATTTTCATTCCGAACCTAGCATGACATTACTTGAAATCAATCAAACACATTTAGCATGCTACTACATCAACATAATTATGCTAAGTACGCGAACGTACCTTGAGTACGTTATTAAAACTGCCACGACTAGTAGAAAATGCTTACTTCAAAGTCTCCTACACATTAAATCCATAATAGAGTATTAATATCCACTCTAAACAAATTTCCAGCAATATATACTATTTAAAAACCCCTCATAATTTAATTAGAATAAGCTGAAATTATATTTAAATCACCATAAATTAAGTCCCAATTAATGGGTAATTAAAATTTCTTCAAGAAACATAATATCAAGTGTTCTACATAAAATTCCAGCACTTTATTATAATTAAAACTTGCTGTAATTAAGTTTTAAAACACTTAAAACAAAGGCCTACCCTATAATACATCATAATCCTTCAATAAATCATGAATCAAGAACCTAGGGTTTCAAAAATTTGGGCTTTTTAATTAAAAACCAAATCTTAAAATTAATTAACACAATTACAATAACCAAACATCAAAATTAAATTTCCAAACTCATAATTTATAATTAGACTAAAGCCTAGATTAGTTTTGGGTAATAAAGATTTGATTTCTAAAAAGAAAAACCTTTTTTTGTTTTGTTTTTTTTTTTTTCGAAAACCGTGGCTGCCGACAGCAGGCCGACGCCACTGCCGGTGGTCGCCACTGCTGCCGGCTGGTGCTGGTGGTCGGCGGCCCACCGATGGTGGTGGTGGCTGCCGGTGGTGGTTGTGCGCGGCAAGAGGGGAAGGGAAGGAGAGAGAAAAAAGAAAAAGAAAGAGGAAAATAAAGAGAAAAGGGAGAGAAGTTTACCTTGGGTTTTCTCCACTCTGGGCAACGTTGAATTGCCTCATAAGGGGGATATTTATACCTCTTCTCTATCACCCCTTTTACCCTAAACTTTCCTCCTTTAGTTTTTCCTAATCCATTCCCTACTAAAACTTGTTAAAAACCATAATTTCTTAAAATAAAACCCCAACTTCTATTAATTAATTAATTAAACAAACTTCCCTTTTGTAAAATAGTCTCAATTTACATGGGATAAATAATTAAAACATCATAATTAAAATGCTAGAATTATTTAAATACCCTTATAAAATATATGTATATATATATTAAATAAAATACGTATAAAAATACGGGGTATTACAGTCTACCCCCCTTAAAATAAGTTTCGTCCCGAAACTTGGGAAACGAATCTCAAAACTTTTCCTTTTTGTGTATAGTATTGCTGTACTTTTTGTCATTTATCACTCCTTTGTGTCTCTTTGAGAGCACTAATACCTAAAACACTTAATAGAATTTGTGCAAAAAGCACCAGAAATATGTAAAACATACGGAAAAAGCGCGAAATTATATCGCATTCCACCCCCTTAAAGAAAACGAGTTACGCCCCCATAACTCAACATACCTGAAACAGTTCTGGGTATTTCTTTTTCATTTCATCCTCTGCCTCCCAAGTGGCTTTCTCATATTCTTGGTTAGACCAAAGTACTTTCACAATGTTAACGTTCTTATTGCGTGTACTACGCACTTTACTGTCAAGAATTCTGACAGGTCTTTCTTCATAAGTTAAGCTTTGATCTAACTCAATGGTTTCGGGTTGTAGCACATGGGATTTATCAAGGATGTACCTTCGCAGTTGGGACACATGAAATACATCATGTACTTTACTAAGATCCATAGGTAAGGCTAACCTATAAGCTACTTTGCCTATTCTTTGCAGTATTTCATATGGACCAATGTATTTTGGACTGAGCTTTCCTTTCTTTCCAAATCTCATCACCCCCTTCATTGGTGACACCTTTAACAACACTTTATCACCAATTTCGAACTCTTCTTCCCTTCGCTTCGAGTCTGCGTAGCTCTTTTGGCGATCTTGAGCTGCTTGAATTTTAGCTTGAATTTCCCTTACTTGTTTAACTGTGTCTTCAATAATTTGAGGCCCTAAGATCATAGTTTCACTAATTTCGTTCCAACAAATTGGACTACGACATTTCCTCCCATACAAAGCCTCAAATGGTGCCATTCCTATGCTTGCGTGGTAACTATTATTGTACCAAAATTTTCTTGTACACTTTTCCAAAATTTTGAGAGAAACCTGGAATCTCTGTCAAATATAATATCTTTTGGAACCCCATGTAACCTTACCACATGTTTGATGTAAGCTTTCGCAAGTTTCTCCATCTTCCAAGTTTCTTTCATTGGTATAAACACTGCTGATTTCGTAAGTCTGTCCACCACTACCCAAATGGTATCATTTCCACTCCTTGACTTAGGCAAGCAAGTCACGAAATCCATTGAAATGCAATCCCACTTCCATCCTGGAATTTCTAGTGACTGCACCGTCCCTTGAGGCCTCCTGTGCTCTATCTTCACCTTTTGACATGTTAAACACTTTGCCACAAACTCAGCAACCTCATTTTTCATTCTAGGCCACCAAAACATCTTCTTCAAATCCTTATATAGCTTGTCTCCTCCCGGGTGTACAAAGTAAGGTGTATTGTGGCCTTCCTCCATCAACTTTCTCTTCACCTCCTCACATTTCTGTGGTACGCACCATCTATCTTTGTACCTCAAACTCCCATCTTCGTGAATCTTGAAATCTGTAGTCCTTCCCTGCTTAATTTTCTCGCGAATCCTATCCAACTTTACATCCCCCTCTTGGTTGACTCGAATCTTGTCAAATATAGTTGGTTGGATGCTTAGATTCGCAAGAATACCCGCTGGTACTCCCCATTCTACGACCTCTAGATTCAATTTCATCATTTCTCTACATAGTTCATTAGCCACTACTAACGAGTTGATTCCATGACTAGTCTTACGACTTAGAGCGTCCGCAACCACATTCGCTTTCCCTTTGTGGTATTGTATGTCTAAATCATAATCTGTCGTATACTCTAACCATCTTCGCTGACGGGAGTTTAAGTCCTTTTGGGTGAAAATGTACTTTAAGCTTTTGTCATCCGTGTAAATTCTACATTTCACCCCATACAAATAATGGCGCCAAATTTTTAGCGCAAAAATGATTGCAGCTAATTCTAAATCATGGGTGGGATAGCTTACTTCATGTTTCTTTAACTGTCTTGATGCATATGCAATCACCTTCCCATTTTGCATAAGCACGCACCCTAAGCCATTCTTTGATGCATCGCTGTACACATCATATAGTCCACTATCATCCGGGAGTGTAAGTACTGGTGCTGTGATTAATTTTTGTTTCAAGAGTTGGAACGCTTCTTCACATTTATCTTCCCACTCAAACTTCTTGTCCTTCTTCATCAAGGTGGTCATGGGTTTAGCAATTTTGGAAAAATCCTTAACAAAACGCCTATAATACCCTGCTAAACCTAAGAAACTTCTCACGTCAGACACTGTCTCGGGTGTAGGCCAACCCTTAACTGCTTCTATTTTGGTTGGATCTACCTCCACTCCGTCTTTGGACACGTAATGTCCCAAGAAGGCTACCTTTTCCAACCAAAACTCACATTTAGAGAATTTTGCGTAGAGGTGGTTCTCTCTTAGTGTTTGCAGAATTTCCCTTAGGTGTTCTGCGTGCTCTTCCTTACTCTTTGAGTACACCAGTATGTCATCTATGAACACAACTACAAACTTATCCATAAATTGATGAAATACCCTATTCATCAAATCCATAAAGATTGCTGGAGCATTAGTTAATCCAAAAGGCATGACTGTAAATTCGTAGTGTCCATATCTTGTCCTAAATGCGGTTTTTTGAATGTCTTCGTCGGCAATCCTCAATTGGTGATACCCAGATCTCAAGTTGATCTTTGAAAATACTGTGGCACCCTTTAGTTGGTCAAACAGATCATCGATTCTTGGTAAGGGATACTTATTATTTATGGTTACTTTATTTAGTTCCCTGTAGTCAATGCACAACCTCATACTTCCATCCTTCTTTTTCACGAAAAGAACTGGTGCTCCCCAAGGAGAAGCACTTGGTCTAATGTACCCCTTGTCTAATAAATCTTGTAATTTCTCCTTTAATTCACTCATTTGTGCAGGTGCCATTCGATATGGTGCCTTGGATATTAGGGCTGTTCCGGGAACTAAATCTATGGTAAAATCGATTGCCCTCTTAGGTGGCATTCCAGGGATCTCCTCTGAAAATACATCCAGGAATTCGTTGACCACTTCTATATTTTCTGGATTTGTCACTTGTTCTTGGTTCATATCCCTAACACTACAGAAATATACTGGATGTCCCTTCTTCATGTATTTTGCTAATTTTAGCACTGATATTACCCTTGGGCACTTGGTTTTACCATTTATCCAGTAAGTCACTGATTAATTTCCACTTGTGACCATCTTCACTTTCTGTGATATACAACTAATCTCAGCATTATACTTACTCAGCCAGTCCATTCCCAAAATAAGGTCAAAGTCGCTCAGCCCAAACTCAATGAGTTCAGACGGAAATATCTTTCCTTCTATTTCTAAAGGCACATTTCTAAAAGATTTGGTATAATTCACTACCCCACCTGTCGAAATGGTTATGGGTAAATCTACTACCTCTACTGTCTTTAAGCAGTCTTTAAGTTTCGAAACAATAACCTTAGAAATAAAAGAAAAAGTTGCACCAGAATCAAACAATACTTTAACAGGAATATAGTTAATAGAAAAAGTACTAGTGATGACATCTTTTGTGGCATCCGCCTCATGCTTACTCAGAACATTCAGTTTCCCTGCAGTTCCACTCTTCTGTTGGCTATTCCCACTGGTGGTGTTACTGTTCCTTGCCCCATTCTGTTGCACTCCCTTGATCCCAGTAAAGTTGTTGTTGTTCTGTTGGAAATTCCTCTGGTTTCCTCCTAAGTTATTATTGTTTTTCCTGTTCCCATTATTATTTTTGGAGAAACACTCATATTCTCTATGCCCGAGCTTGTTACAAACACGACAAGCGACCAAATTTCCCTCGCAATCCTTTCCAGGGTGGTTATTCTTACACCTCTTGCAAAAATAAATTCTCCCATTCTTGTTATTTCCCTGGTTATTGTTTCTAGCCCCTCCATTGTTGTTACGGTTCCCTTGACGGTTATTACCATGGAAGTTGTTATTGTTGTGGAAGTTATTGTTATGGTGGTACTTCTGCTTCTTAAAACCATTCTGGTTTCCCTGTTGGTTTCCAGAAACTTGCCCCACTTCCTTCCTTTTCTCTCTTCCTTCTATTTCAGCTAACTCTTTCTTCTTCTTTTCTTCCAAAGCATAAAGGTGTGCGGACCTTCCATATACTTCATCCAGTGTCTCAAATACCTACCCGCACAGCTTTAACTGCAAATCAGTAGTTAAGCCACTCTCAAACTTCCTAGCTTTTGCTTTCTCCGTAGAGACAGACCCTTCAGCAAAACGGGATAATTCAATAAACTTGGTGTAGTATTCCGTAACCGTCATCTTGTCCATCCTAAGGTTTGAGAATTCCTCAGCTTTCTGCTTCTGCAATAAGTTAGGATAAAACTTGTCTCTCACTTTCTCTTGGAATTTGGTCCAGTTGAACCCAAGTAATGCTCTAATGGTAGCCTCGTTTTGTTGCCACCAAAGGTCAGCTTCACCCCTCAGGTAGTAGGTAGCACAACTCACTTTTGAGTTTTCAGGGCATCCCACAGCTCCAAATAGTTTCTCAAATTCCCTCAACCAGTTTTCCAATATAATAGGGTCAGGCTCGCCTTGATAGGTTGGTGGCTTGCTTTGTGCCACAATTTTAAAGAGTTCCCCTTGAGCATCCCCATTACCAGTTGAGTTTCTTGCCAATTGTTGGGAAACTGCTGCCAATTGCCTTACTACTTCATTCAAATTGTTTCCACCACTACCTGAACTTCTTCCCCCTGCCATTTTGCTTCTCCTGAATTTAGGACAAGGATTTATATTAGAAATGGCTAGGTTTAGCTCTCAAGACGTACACTTGTCTATTACCTAACGACCTTTAAACATTTACAGTAGAATTTGAAGATAACAATTTGGGATAGCGAGAGCTAAGAATTCCCTTAATGTGTAGCTTTATCAATTAATTATTGATTGCTAACCAACCATGCATTTAATAAAGCATCACATAGATAAAAAAAAAATAATTCCCATAGACGTTCACAGCTTATAAATGTTTGTTGTAGATAAGTTGCTTGGAATGGTGATTATTGGAATAGTGGTGTGAGGTGGGAGATTTGGAAAACAAATGAATTTATTTTAAAAAAAGAATTAACAAAGAAATAAATAGAGTCTTATTAATTAAAATAGACTGAAAATACTAAAATAAAAATTGTGTTCCAGGAACTTATGTGGTCATGCCACTTATTGCATTAAAACTGAAATAACAAATAATTAAAATAAGGACTATGAATTCGTGACGAGGAAAGTTATAAGATCTAATCCTTTCGAATGTTGTCCCTTTTGTCGGTGGATTGCTTGTAGCTTGAAGGATCGAAATTAGAATCATTTGACTCTTCCATTGGTTCAGGTGACTCAGGTTCAGGTTCTACTTGTACAAACTCCCCTTCTTCCTCCTCATCTGATGAAATGTCTATTATTATAGGAGTTGGAGGTGGATTTGGATCAGAAATGTCCATAAGTGAACTATTACCCTCTTGTTGTTCTCCATTATCTGCTTGACCACCCCCTGACGAAGAAGAAGAAGAAGAAGAATTTCCTGGTTGTTGATTAGGAGGAGGATTGTTCCCTACTGGGTTATCATAGTAGTAGTCAGGGTAGGGAAGGTTTAAGCGCTGACAATGAGCTTTCTCCACTCTTACGAGATATTTAGTTAAGAAAATATAATTTGGATACCACTGGCCATAATAGTCTCTGTATTTATGGTAATTTGGAACGTCTCCTGGAAGGTAAAAATCAGAAAATCTCTGTTTGACAGCAATGTAAGGGGGCTCCTCTAGAAGACAATGGACAATCATCGCCGAAATACGATCAGGGGTGTCATAAACTCTCTCTTGTAAGACATTGCTCAGGTAGGAACAAAAGTATCTGATCTTTTCTACAAAGTCATAAGGGTGTTCATTATGTTTC